AAATTAACCATTTAAAATCATCCCTTTTATCACAGACTTAATTATTGCTCTGCAAAAACTTACTAATATAGCGGCCTCCTCTTGTCCCATGAAATTCATAATGCTGATATTGCTTATGCCTTTTTATAATATTTTCAATAACACTAATTTATTTTGGTCTTTTCATGAGATACCTTTTCGAAATTTGCACAAAATTACCAGAAAGTTGCTATAGCATCGGCTGTGACCACGCGGAGAAAGCTCATCTTTATTTTATTTTTAGCTCCAAATTAGTTTCTTTTGGATTGTAATAAAACAATTCAGAAATTTGATGAAAGTTTAAGGAATTTTCCCCTTCCGCGTATGACTTCCAACTTTCCAAGTCTATTTGAGTCCTACCAAATTTATTTGTAAGTCCCTTTCTAGTTTCTAATATAATATTAATAGATTTATTTTTAATATCAATTTATTTATCTCAAAAATACCCTTTTACCCTTCTCTCTCCATGTGAAACTCTCACTTACGACATTTATCATTCTTCTTCTTTCTTTTCTTTCTCATCTGTTGTTCTATTCATTCTATCTTTCATCTAATGTTAGGGTATTATCTAAAATCAATCTAGCAAAAGAATCTTCTACTTTTTTTAATTTCTTTTATTAGAAATTAATTAACTCATTTGCCACTTCTTAAGCCCTAGTAAAAAATTATTAACGTAATACATTTATGTAGTATGGAAAACTACTTTTTATCGATGGAACTTGTTGATGCGTGATTTTTCACCAACAAAATGTACGTGTAAAATGCTGAGTTGGCCCAGAAGACACACGTGAATATAAAGGAAATTTAGGTATGGGAGCATTTAATGAAGCAGTCTCTGCGCTGACAGACGTGTCCTATGCATGATAAATGCCAATCAGGCGCATTAAATGCGTTGTATGCTAACACGGTATCCTTTATCAGAACATTAAATGCGTGACATGCTGAAACGACCCCCCTTATCAGAGCATTAAATACATATTGGGGCATAATTAATGTTGAGAGAGAGAGAGAGTTGTCGCTTGGGTTTTTCAACGGAAAACGATGACGGTTTGATTTTTTGTAATCGTGATGCTCACTCTTTCTCACTGATTCGTGACACGTGGTCGTGATCAACGGTGAGGAGTTTTTGCCGCCCAAACGTCGTTTTAATTCTGAGAAAAACAAACGTCGGTTCATGCGCTATAAAAACTCAGATCTTTCTTAGGCAATGTCACCAATCTTTTTCACAGAGAGCAAGAATTTTTCGTAAGCTCAGAACCTTTGCCTTCCAAACCAGCATTTTTTCGATATTTGAAGCAGAAGCCATTTCGTATTCTGAGAGGTAAGAATCTTTCTCTGCTTTTGCTTTCTTTTTTCCATGGTTGGTAAATGGCGTTAGTCTTCCGGTAACTCACTGGAGACGAGACGCTCATGTCAGGTTTGAGCCATGAATCGCGGCTCAAATCATGCTGTTAGGGCTTTCTTTAGGCTTTAAGGAGTTTGTTTCCTTCCACGTCATCATACGGAGTATGGTGCAATGGCTAAATGACTCCCCTGCTTGTTGCTTTTGTAGACCAGTAGAATGGACCCCTCAACGATCAGATCCGAGGAAGGAACCAGTTCATCTTTGCAGGGTGCTCTGAGCGTCACTCTTGAGGTCTACTCGATACTTACCGGGGAAGAGCTCAAGAGAGTGATAAAACAATACGGTATCGACGTGGAAGTTTTTCGCAATGTGGCCCACTCATTGCGATACTCATCTAGTGGGATGGCCACCATCTCCGAGGAGATCATCAAGGGTGGGGGTTTGATCCCCTTCCACCCTTTTATCAGATCGCTTTTGGATCAATTCGGGATAGCGCCGATGCAGCTTACACCGAACACGTATGTGATTACTGTCGCAATATACATCACATGTCGCGAGAATGAGCTTGACAAACTGACCGCTGTGGAGCTCGACTGCTCGTATTACCTGAAAAAAAGCAAGGACAAGGACTATTATTACTTGTCCAGGCGACCTACCATTGCCGTAGGGATACACAACTACCCTAGCAACGCGGGGGCTTATGAAACGAAGTTTTTCTTCTTTCGTTACAATGGCCATTACCGCTTCCAAGACACGAGTAGGCTCTTTTCCCTTGCCGAACTCATTAAATTTGAAGTGCGCTTTCTAACGAGCTGTTTCTTTTCTGACAGTTAATAAGACGATCGACCAAGGGTTGCTCTTCGATCCGGATAGGATCATATCTTTCGGCCTCCTGCCTAAAGATAGCTGCGATACGAAGAAGCTCGTGACCACCGCGAATCGGTGGAAATACGATTTCTTTAACGCAAACGCGTCTTTAGAGCCCCCATTGAGTAAGTCTTGCTAACTGGTTCTTTTCTAGTCGTGAAATGAAATACTTTTACTAACGATGCTTGTATGCAGCGACCATGCCTCCGAAGGAGTCAGAGCAGCCGCGGCGAAGGCAATTTAATTTTCTGCGGTCAAAGACCGCTAAGGAGAAAGATGCGACTCCCGCCAATCCCTCTGCTGAAGGTGTAACATCGGGCCCCCCGAAGCAACCTGCCGGAACTTCTCAGCCTTGACCTTCGGAGGATGCACCAACACGACCTACAAAAACTTCCCAGCCATCGGCTATTCGCCCGAGGCTAAAGACAACGGCTCAGCGAGCGAAGAAGAAGAGAAGACAAATTTAGGTCGAAGAGTCTGAGATCGAATCCGAGGGCGATCAACCAGGGAGGTCACAGTCGGACGTCGGAAGGAGGTCGGGTAAGGAACTGACGGGTGTTACGGCTCCTGCAGAAGGCGCGAAGAAAGAAACTGGACTCGCTGAGGAACTTTTCGGAGTACCTGCAGTCGATGGTCTACACCTTGCTGGAGTGCGGACTCTAGGAATCATTCAAGCAGTTTGTAGGCTCCAACGACGTGGACCTGATGTCCACATCGCTCCAACATTTAAGCAAGGTAAGCAAACTGTCCTCCGCGAGGACTTCCTTTAGTTTATATAAAACCTAACTTGCTATTTTTTCTTATTCGCAGGCCCTGCTTTCCATGCAGCTGTCCCTAGAGAAGGTTCGGTTGGGAGCTGCAAAGGGGGAGGTCGCACTGAAAGAGGAGAAGGCAACTCTCAAGCAAAGCTTGGAAGCCGCTGAAACAGAGAGGAACATGTCCTCTGAGTCGGCGAACTGGTACCTGAATAAAAGAGACACGGCTCTTCGCATGGTGGACTTCCAAAAAACTGAGCTCGAGAAGCATGGGGAGGAAATAAAGAAGCTTCAAAGGACCATCGCCAGACTCTCTAAGGAGGTCAAAGAGAAGGACCAGGAGCTCAAAGCGACCTCTCAGTGAGCCTTGCGAGCAGAACAAGAGAGAGAAGCCTCCGAGAAGCAAAGGCAAGCTCTCGAGGCTAAACTTCAGGCAAGTCAAGGAAAAGTTGCTTCCCTGACCGAAGAGGTGTAGAGTCAGGCAGCGAAGGTTGAGGAGAAGGCTGCTGAGTGGGTGATCAAGTCCATCTATGCCTTGTGACCGAAGAACCCGCATATTGATATGTCCGACCTCCTGGAGGATTGGCAGGAAACTTTAAGGTCTATGGTGCGGCAGGATGATGAAGTGGCGGCCGCCCAAAGATCCCTAGCCGACCAGCCTTAGGTTGATGAGTTCGTGCCTCTAGGAGTTAGGTCGGCACTAACAGTTGTACCTTTTTTGCCTGTTGTACTCTTCATATTAATGAATACATTTTGCTTTTACAATTTCTGTTTGCTTCATTATACATGAATTTACATTGTGATTGCTTACAGTACTGGAACAAGTCTGATAACATAATACATTTGTACGAACAAGGTTACATGCGAAGACTATTACAAGCAAACAGAATAATTCTTTACAGGGAAATAATTTACAAAGATCAAGAATTAATTTACAAGGAAAATTGAGCTCGGAATTACTGATAGTAAGGTCGAAGATGTTCAGCATTCCAAGCTCGGGGTACTTTAAAACCATTCAGCCTTTTGAGATGATAAGTCCTTGTAACAACTTCTTTCTACTATCATATTCATAAAATATGTTAATAAAAAGACAAGTATATTTATCAAAATAGTTGGGCCCAAAATTTTTCTTTACTTAGTAAATACACTCTTTACATAGTACAACATCATTTGTACAAAAAGACTCTAAAAAATAGTGGATAGTACAGCCAAGTCTCCTTGCTTGTCGACGTCCATCCGACCACGTCCTCACCTATGCCCTGTAAAACATAGAAAACAACGGGGTGAGCACAAAGATGCTCAGTAAGTAAATCTTCTACTCTATAGTCCTCGTGTATTACTTTTCAATTTTTTTGCATACTCTTGTCACTTTCTCTAATTCAATCTCTCTTGTTCTTTCTCTACTTCTAGCTCTCACTATTCTTTTCTTTCTTTCTATTCTCATCACCCATGGAGAATATCATAACCATGCATGGATGAGACACTAAGGCATAACAATGCATTTTTTCTCTTTTCTTTCTATTCTTCTCTTATTCTTATTCTTTCTTATTCTTTGCCGATCGATTTTGGTTGATGCGAGGATTCGGAACCCTTGGCCATGTGAGTGTACTCTCTCTCATGCATATAGGCATCATCCGCATGTATTCTCATGGCTATACGAATTCTTTTTCTCATTCTCATTCCGCTCTCTCATGGCGGAGACCGCTTTCTTATGGCAGTTACACGCGGATACTTTCTACACTCACGGGCTCCCCATCACACAACCTATTCTCTTTTATCTTCTTTAGCACTTATTATTCATTTTATGCTCTAGTGCTAATTCTTTCTTTCTCTTTATTCTAAGAGAATTAGTTCTTTTCTTTATCTCTACTCTTAGAGTGTTTCTTTCTCATTTCCCATATTTCTTTCTTTGGTGATTACTCAAATAAACATATGCACATGGATGGCTCATGCCTAGAATCTTTCTTATATGCATTCATGAAATGAATCTTAAGATTCTTAATCAAAATTGGACATATTTTTAATCGGAAAAATTAATTATATTGAAAGAAAGTAATTCTTAAATAACACAAGAACAAGAATCTAGTGAAACTCAAACCCTAAAACGCAGATCTACTACACATTAAATTTCTTCTTCACAATTAAGCTCTCTCGCCTCTGATCCTGCTGGCGAGTTGAATATCTTTAGGCATAATAGTGACTCTCTTAGCGTGAATTGCACAGAGATTTGTGTCCTCAAAGAGTCCGACGAGATAAGCCTCGGCTGCCTCTTGAAGAGCCGCGACGGCGCTGCTTTGGAACCTCAAATCGGTTTTAAAATCCTGAGCAATTTCTCTTACTAGTCTCTGAAACGGAAGCTTCCGAATCAAAAGCTCCGTGCTCTTCTGGTACTTTCTGATCTCTCTCAAGGCTACAGTTCCCGGCCTGAAACGGTGCGGCTTCTTCACTCCTCCCGTCGCCGGAGCTGACTTCCGAGCGGCCTTCGTGGCCAGCTGCTTACGTGGCGCCTTGCCTCCGGTGGACTTCCTTGCTGTTTGTTTCGTGCGAGCCATTTCAAAGATTGATGATTGAAAGAGTGGCTTTGTGTTTGGACTTGTGTTTAGACTTGTGGTTGTTTCTTAAGAAAAAAAATGGGAGAAATTGAGTATTTATGGAAGAAATTTTGGAAGAGGAGGGAAATTTGAAAATTTGTTGTGTTTTTGAGAGTTTGGAATGAGCAAATCTAGGCCGTAGATTTGAGAATAATCGACGGTGAAGAAAGTTTTCTGTTGGCTGATTTGGCGATCCAAGTGAAAAATAACTTGACCAATAGAAATGTTTTACTGAGGGACGGATCCGTGTGCCGTGTGAAAGGACTAATGCACAGTGAAAATATTTAAAAATACCCGAAATAATTTGATAATATAATTGGACCCCTAACATTTTGATTACTATCAACAGTTATGATTTGAAAAATATATTCAAAAAAACTCCTGTCCTAGGAATATATTGAAATTAAGGGAATCAATGAGTTAATTACAAACTCATATTCAACTAGGATTTCTAACTGGTTTCAGGATTAGAATTTCGATTCAATTGCTATAAATAATCTAAGTTTTATTATCTCAAAGTACTTGAAAGAGCATCAAAACAGTCATTACCACTTTCTTTTACCCTAAATAAACCACGATGACGAAGAAGATGAAAACCACCCTGCAACAATAATTGGAGGCCATGGAGTGATCTTCCTCAAGAACTCCTTGTTTTGATCTTTGATAATCTGAATCTTACAGATTATCACACCTGTTGATGCGTAATTTTTACACAAACGAAACGCACGTGTGAAATGTTGAGTTGGCCTAGAAGACACACGTGAATATAAGGGAATATAAGAGTAAATGCAATGGGGACAACTTTTAAAGTGGTTCGGATGCTAAGGTAGCAAGTCCTACGTCCACTGATGTTTAAAGTGGTTCGGATGATAAGGGTCAAGTCGCGTTAGTGGACTGACTTACAAATGATAGTACAAGAGAGAGAGAGTGCTATATTATAGAGAGAGAGAGTGTGTAGCCAATCAAGAGTAAAAATGAGCGGATCCCCTGATTGGGAGAGGAGCTCTCTATCTATAGTGGGATACATTGAGCTAATGATTACTGAATCTGTGAGTTGGTGAGATTAAGTGTACAAATCCTTCTTTATGTCACATTGCCCACATTCTAGAGTGATTTACGCGATTTGGAGTAGGGATTAGACATGTGGGATCACCACAGCTTCTGGCTGGTCTGGCGCGCACCTACTGTTCTGACAGAAGCAGGCTGCCCCTTTCCTCACGTGACTCGGCAGTGGGTGTACCCATGCTTTGACTTTTGCACGTTGACTGGACCTTACGTAAGCCTTATATTTTTCAGGCATAACAGAAGTCCCCTAGTTTTTAAGGTTTGAGGATCGAACCTTGGAAACTATAAGTCATGCCGTGATTGGATAATTTTTGGAAATTCTGGCGATTCCAACCTATTTGAAAATAGGTCGGGGTAGCACTTTTCACTAACACGACCTCGCATGGTCATCGCTTATTAAAGACGGGCGACCTGACTTCGTCAAGCGTTATCTGTTGTACTTTAGGTATGGGAGCATTTAATGAATCATTCTCTGCGCTGACAGATGTGTCCTGTGCGTGATAAGTGCCAGCCAGGCGCATTAAATGCGTTGTATGCTGACACGGTACCACTTTATCAGAACATTAAATGTGTGACATGCTGAAACGATAACCCTTATCACAGCATTAAATAAAGATTAGGGCGCAATTAATGCTGAGAGAGAGAGAGTGTTGTCGCTTGAGTTTTTCAACGGAAAATATGAAGATTTGATTTTTCTTTAATCGTGACGCTCACTCTTTCTCACTGATCTGCGACACGTGGTCGTGATCAACGGTGAGAAAATTTGTCGCCCAAACGTCGTTTTGATTCCGAGAAAAACAACCGTCGTTTCATGCGTTATAAAAACTCAGATCTTTCTCAAGCAATGTCACCACACTCGTCTTTTTCACAGAGAGCAAGAGATTTTCGCAAGCTTGGAACCTTTGTCTTCCAAACCAGCGTTTTTCTGATATTTGAAGCAGAAGCTATTTTTGTACTCCGAGAGGTAAAAATCTTTCTCTGTTTTTGTTTTCTTATTCTCCATAGTTGGTAAATGGCGTTAGTCTTTCGATAACTCATTGGAGACGTGATGCTCATGTAGGTTTCGAGCCACGAATGGTGGCTCGAATCATGCTGTTAGGGTTTTCTCTAGGTTTTAGGGAGTTCGTTTCCTTCCACGTCATCGTACGAAACTGCGTACGATGGCTAAATGACCCTCCTACTTGTCGCTTTTGCAGACCAGCAGAATGGACCCCTCAACGACAAGATCCGAGGAAGGAACCAGTTCGTCCTCGTAGGATGCTCCGAGTGTCACTCCTGAGGTCTACTTGGTACTCACCGGGGAAGAGCTCGAGAGAGTGACAAAGCAGTATGGTGTCGACATGGAAGTTTTTCGCGATAAAACCCACTCATAGAGATACCTGTCAAGCGGGATGGCTTCGATCTCCAAGGAGATCTTCAAGGGTGGGGGCTTGATCCCCTTCCACCCTTTTGTCAGGTCGTTGCTGGATCACTTCGAGATTGCGTCGATGCAACTCACTTCGAACACGTATGTTATTGTTGTTGCCATGTACATCACATGTCGTGAGAACAAGCTGGGCGAGCTAACCGCAGTGGAGCTCGACTGCTCGTATTACTTGAAAAAGAGCAAGGACAAGGATTCTTATTACTTGTCCAGGCGACATGCTATAGAAGCGGGGATACATAGTTACCCTAGCAAGGCGGGGGCCTACGAAACGAAGTTTTTCTTCTTTCGTTACGATGGCCATTGCCGCTTTTAGGACCCGAATAGGTTCTTTTCCCTTGGCGAATTTATTAAATTTGAAGTGCATCCTTTTCCTAACGACTTGTTTCTTTCTGGCAGTTAACAAGTCAACCGACTTAGGGTTGCTCTTCGATCCGGACAGGATTGTAGCTTTCGGCTTCCTACCCGAAGCTAGTCGCAACGCGAAGAAGTTCGTGACGATCGCGAATCTATGAAAATATGGTTTCTTTAACACAAGAGCGTCCTTAGAGCCCCCATTGCGTAAGTCTTGCTAATTGGGTCTTTTCTGGTCGTGCAATGAATTATTTTTGCTAACGATGCTCGCATGCAGCGACCATGCCTCCAAAGGAGTCAAAGTCGCTGCGACGAAGGCAATTCAATTTTTTGCGGGGAAAGACCGCCAAGGCGGCCGATGCTGCTCCTACCGTTCCCTTGGCTGAAGGTGCCACATCAAGCCCCCCGGTGTGACCGGCTGGAACTTCTCAGGATCAACCTTCGGAGGATGTACCAATCCGACCTACAAAGGCTTCCCAGCCATCGGCTGTTCACCCGAGGCTAAAGTCAACGGCTCAGCGAGCTAAGAAGAAGAGAAGGCAAATCCAGACCGAAGAGTCAGAGACTGAATCCGAGGGCGATCAACTCGAGAGGTCACAGCCAGACGTCGGGTAAGGAACCGACGGGCGACACGACCCCTGCTGAAAGCGCGAAGAAGGAAACTCCAGTGTTGGACTCGTTGGGGAACCTACTGGAGTACCTGCAGCCGATAGTCTACAGTTTGCTGGAGTGCGGACTCTCAGAATCATTCGAGCAGTTCATAGGTTCCAGCGACGCAGACCTGATGTGCACATTGCTCCAGCACTTGAGCAAGGTAAACAAACTGTCCTCGGCGAGGACTTCCCTTAGTTTACTAATAAACTAACTTGCTATTTTTCTTGTTCGCAGGCCCTGCTTTCCATGCAACAGTCTCTGGAGAAGGTTCGGCTGGGAGCTGTAAAGGGGGAGGTCGTATTGAAGGAAGAGAACGCACAGCTCAAGCGAGGCCTAGAAGCCACCAAAGCAGAAAGAAACCTATCCTCTGAGTCAACGAACCGGTACCTGAGCGAAAAGGACGCGACTCTTCGCACGGCGGACTTCCAAAAAACCGAGCTCGAGAAGCATGGGGAGGAAATAAAAGAGCTTCAAAAGACCATAGCTAGACTCTTCAAGGAGGTCGGAGAGAAGGACCAGGAGCTCAAAGCGACCTCTCTGCGGGCTTGGCGAGCAGAACAAGAGAGAGATGCCTTTGATGAGCAAAGGCAATCTCTTGAGGCCGAGCTCCAAGTAAGTCAGGGAAAAGTTGCTTCCTTGACTGAAGAGATGCAGAATCAGGCAGCGGAGGTCGAGGAGAAGGCTGTTGAATGGGCGATCGAGTCTATATATGCCTTGCGGCCGAAGAATCCACGCACTGATATGTCCGACCTCCCGGAGGACTGGCAAGAAACTCTCATGTCCATGGCGCGATAGGATGATGAAGCGGCGGTCGCCCAAAAATCTGATCAGATAAAGGGTTCGGGACACGCTTCAAAAAAGCCCCCAGCCGACCAGCCTTAGGATGATGAGGTCGGTCCTCCAAGAGTCAGATTAGGGCTAACACCTGTACCATTTTTCCTGCTGTACTCTTCGCATTAATGAAATACATTTTGCTTTTACAATTTCTGTTTGCTTTAGTTTACATTCTGTTTACAATATTGGAACAAGTCTATGCGAACATGATAACACATTTATACAAACAAGATTACATGCGAAGACTGTTACAAGCGAACAGAATAATACTTTACAAGGAAATAATTTACAAAGATCAAAAATTAATTTACAAGGAAAACTGAGTTCGGAATTACTGATAGTAAGGTCGAAGATGCTCAGCATTCCAAGCTCGGGATACTTTGGAACCATTCAGTCTTTTGAGATGATAAGTCCCCGGTCTTATCATCTCGTCGATGTGGTGTGGACCTTCCCAGCTTGGTCCTAACACTCCCGCACTTGGTTCCCTAGCACCGAGAAGAACTTCCTTTAATACAAGGTCGTCGACCTGGAAGTCTCTTCGTCTGACCTTAGAATCGAAGAACCTCTTCGCGCATTGCTGGTAGGCTGCTATCCTTAGCGAAGCCTTGTTGCGATGTTCTTTAACAAGGTCTAGACTTGCTCACATAAGTGCGTCGTTGTCAGCTTCATTGTACAAGTCCCTCCGTAGCGAATCAGTTCCTACCTCCATAG